TAATTACAAAATCTATGACAAGGAATTATTCGCCATCATCAGATGCTTCGAAGCATGGAGACCAGAAGTCGAGGGCACAGCAATGCCAGTCCAAGTTTTGTCAGATCACAAGAGTCTTGAATACTTCATGACAACAAAGAAGCCTACTCGAAGGCAAGCTCGATGGGCTGAGTTTCTGTCAAGGTTTAACTTTCAAATTATATATCGACCTGGGAAACAGAACGGAAAAGCAGATGCATTAACTTGAAGACCAGGAGATAGACCGAACGAAGAAGATGACCACCAAAAACAATAACTTCAAATCCTGCTACCACTCAAGAGACTCCATCCAGACCTCCGACTCACGCCAGTCCACCTACAGGAAGCAAGTATTCTAGACAAAATCCAAACTGCGCAACTTCAAGACAGCTTATGCAAAGACACTATTCAGAAGCTGCAGAATGAAGAACGAAACAGTCCAGACATAGCTCTAGCATATTGCGAGGTGAAGGAAGGGCTCTTATATTTTCATAATAGAGTCTGGGTTCCAGAAAGTGCTCTCGTCGAACTCTTACAAGAAATTCATGACCAACCAGCAATGGGACACCCTGGTATTGGGTAGATGATTCGGGTCATCAAAAGACAGTATTACTGGGCCCGGATGGATAAGACAATTATACAATACATCAAGAACTGCCATATCTGCAAAAGATCAAAACCTACAAGAGATGACTTCTTCAACCAATCCCTGTTAGCAGCCAGCCGTGGCAGGACATATCACTCGAGTGAAGGAAACAATGCTATCCTTGTCGTAGCATGCCGACTTACAAAAGAACGTCATTTTATCCCATGCTTTGCAGGCCAAGAAGGCACAACTGCAGAAGCAACAGCACAGCTACTCCTTCGACATGTATGGAAACACCATGGTTTACCAAATTCGATCATCTCAGACAGCGGCCCCCAGTTCGTGGCTGCGGTGTGGAATATCCTCTGCAAAGTTTGGAAAGTTATAACAAAATTGTCTACTGCCTTCCACCCAGAAACAGATGGGCAAACTAAGAGGTTCAATGCAGAACTCGAACGATATTTACGAGCTCATGTTAACTATCTCCAAGACAATTGGGTCGAATATCTTTGCTCTACCTTCAGACTCTACAAAAATCAGTCCATTCTTTGCAAATAAGGGCTTTGAGCCAAGAATGAGTTTTGATATTAAGAACAGCGAGTTCCAAATAGCACCACAGGAACACAAGGATATGATACAAAGCATGAAAGATATTTGGGAGTTTCTGCAAGACCAAATCGCACTCTCGCAAACTCGCATGGAGACATTTGCAAATCAACGCAGGAAAGCTGCACCAAGATATCAGGTTGGAGATCAAGTATGGCTATCTACACGAATATCAGGACTCAGAGGCCATTCGAAGAAACTCGATCACAAGCAACTTGGTCCATATAAGATTCTCGAACGAATTGGGCAAGTGGCATATCGATTAGAGCTACCACCAAGCATGAAGATACATCCTGTATTTTACAGCAACCTCTTACGACTTGACTCAGATGATGCTTTACAAGGCCAGCACCATGAACCACCCCTGCCAATCGTTATAGAAGATGAACTTGAATGGGAAGTTGAAGAAATCCTAGATTCTAAATTCCTATGGAAGAAGCTGTTCTATATGGCAGCATGGAAGAACCACCCACCAGACAACACTTGGTATCCCCTGAACTCACACAAGCTTTCCACCAAAAATACCCACAGAAGCCACAATGATCTTACACTCTTGACCAGGAGATCAATCTTAGTAGGGGGGGGGGGTAGTGTTACGATTATAGCTTACAGCTTGTTACGGTTGTTACGGTTGTTACGGTTGTTACGGTTGTTACGGTTGTTACGGTTGTTACGGTTGTTACGGTTGTTACGGTTGTTACGGTTGTTACGGTTGTTACGGTTGTTACGGTTGTTACGGTTGTTACAGTTGTTACGGTTGTTACGGGTGCAGCCTTAGCCACTGAGTCTACAACTGCTAAGTGGACAACTGTATATTACGAGGAATAGCCTTACCTTCCTTCCTTCCAAAATAGAAGTTTCTATAACTTCCCACCTAAAATTGAGAAATTTACAAGATAATAACTCAACAACAACTTCATAATATATATTAAAAATGTATTTCTAGCCTTTCCTATTTAGTTGAATTTGTACCTAATCATTTACAAATAATCTATTTAGTAGTTCTTAAGATATTAAGTTTAGGCACTAAAATTTAGACTAGGTCTTTACATTTCAATATCTACTAGTCTAATTGCTTTAAAGCTTAAAATAAAGGAATCTATGTGTTTATATAAATACAAACAAATTTTTATAATATATTATGAAGTTGTTTTTAAGTTATTATCTTCTAAATTAATCAATTTTAGGTGGGAAGTTTAGTGATCGTTTCACTTGTGTGTGTTACTCGTGCGGCCCAAAAGTTTCCACAGGGTCTGTGCACAACAGCCAATTAGATTGTAGGAATCTACCAAGTACCATGTACTTGTACCCGAGTACACGCGTAGAATATGAGAGTGAATGAAGCAATGAAGTAATGCTCAACAATGGCTGAATTCTCAATACCACTACGTGCTGCAATTATTACCTTGCGTGTATACATGAACGCATCATATGGAGAGATTGAAAAGAAGCTTGGAATCTCAGCTGACTCTATTGCATATATATGGCACCAAACTGTTAAAAGGGCAGGGAATACTGAAATTCACAACCTTCTCCAACACCTCGAATCAAAGCCACGAAGCGGAAGACCACAGACAATTCAAAAGGATTCTGAAGAGTCACTACGCATACGATCTTTGCTACTTGCAAATCCATTTGACACTTTTCAACAAGTTATTAATAAGGAAAATCTACCCTACGCACGATCAATTATTGAACGAGTTGCAAAGAATCACTCAAGTATTGTCCACAACCTATTGTACGGAAAAACATCTGCCTCAAGCCCTACTTGGATAATATCATTCCTTCAGTACGATGGAAATTCTGCAAATGGGCACTATCCGAACTTGAAGCTGGATCAATTTTTATTTTCTCAGACGAATCATATATCAATTTGGAGGGAATCCACATAAGAAACGACGGATAACAGTTCAACGGGGTCAAACAGCAGAGAGCATGGCAATTCAACAGAAGAAATCTTTATTTCAAGTTATGTTTTGGGGAGCAATGAGTTCAGAAACCTCTATCTTACGCCCTTCTCGTTCATGGATTCCTGAAAGTATAGAAGAGAAGCAGATACATGTGCAGAAACTACGAGAGATAAATGCATATTGGAAATCAAAAGCAGAGAATGAACTTGTTAGAGCAACAACAGTTGGAACTCTTGAGTACGGATATATGGAAACTCTAAATGCAGATATTCGGAATGGCAAAAGCAAATGGAAAAAGGCACGAGTTGCTTCACAAGAGTTTGGAGATATAGAGACATGGAATAGAGGACGGCAATCAGAAGGGCAAGAAGTTTCAAAGGGCGGGATTGATTGGTTTCTATATTGAGAGATGGTTCTTATTCCTCTTCTCTTCCCCTACTTTCGAAAAGTAAAGACTGGAAGATTATATGAAGAAGGAGGGAATCTATAGAGTGAAATTTTGGCCTCCAAACTCTCCCGATTTGCACCCTATTGAAAATGCCTTTGATTATCTCAAGGATCAGGTTGACGGCTATACACCATTAAATGGAGGGAAGTTTGAAAGAGCTCATGCACGGGTATTTCTTGAGGAAGAATGGGGGAAAAAAATGGATGGGAAATCTACACAATTATGTGCTTCGTTTAAGGACAAGTTGGAGCGGTGTATTTCAGTCAATGGGGGGAACAACTTTCGTGGGTAGATCAGTACAAGTATGTAGAGTATGTACATTTATTTTCTCCAAGTACTTCCACGCCCCACTTATTACACACAGACCCTGTGGAAACTTTTGGGCCGCACGGGTACGATGGTCACAGAGGCCAAGAAGCCAGTCCGGAGAATAATAAGCTAGATTGAATCAACGGCAAAAACTTGATATACCCAGTAAACTGGTAAGAAAACTCCATCTACCCAGTCGGCCGCTAACCCTCCTTTGGAAAGGTTAACGAGCCAATGAGAGTACATGCTCTCATATGGCCTTTTTGAAGCAATTGAGCTGGCAATATACCAGCTCAATTGCACGGTAAGTTGGGGGTCAATTGAGACCCCCAAACCTCCTCCCCCTTCCCTTCCTCCCCTCCACCACAGAACCCCGCTGACACCTCCCAGGCTCCCTCCCTCCTCCGACCCCCTCGAAACCCCCCTCGGAAGCCCTCGCGCGAGGCACAAACTCCCCCGCCTCCCCCGCCCCTGCCTCCTAGCCGAACTCGCTGCCCCTGTCGACGGTAGCAAGTTCCTAGACTTGGACGCTTGGTCCCGCGCCCTGGACGGGTCACGTGGGATGGAACTGGGTATATAGAATTTATTTATTGTTTTACTGGGTATATGGAGTTTTTGCCCTTGAATCAAAGAAGACCCCGTTGGGTCAATCCCCTTAAGTACCTGAAACAGGTCCGACTCAGCTAACCTGCCTTAACTTTTATCATGTGACCGTAACCTGCCCGACTCAGATCCTTTCCGTCACTGAGGGACAGGCATCCTTACAAGCAAAGTGTTCTAATCCAAAGCTTATAGCACAAGGGACAAAACGGGATAGAAGGTTGGATAGAGTATATAGTTGTACACTTGTCCTTGCAGAAGCAGTTTAATGCTATGCTATCATCTGTGAGAATTGTAGTTAAAAACACCTTTGGTTCTAACACAGCAGTTATAGACAGACGTACACTGCTTTTGACAAGGGCCTACAGTCTTAATAACAGCCTATAGCTGCTCACTTTAAAGCAGCGATACTATTATCAAATTGCTACACTTGTATTCATGGTAATTTGATTGGGATAAGGTTTCTAGTACTTCTACCTAGGTCACCATAAAGATCAAACAGCACCACTAGCGGAAGTCATGAGGAAGTCACGGGGAAGTCACGGGGAAGTCACGGGGAAGTCAAGGGGAAGTCAGGGGAAGTCATGGCACTAGGCGGCCACACGACATACGGGTATAATCGGATCTGATAACATTCCAGTACGTACTAGTTTGTTATCAGATCCGCCTACACCCACAAAATCCACCCTCTCAGCTCTCACCTTCTCTCTGCCTCTACTCCTCCTTCTCTCCGCCTTCACCTGCCCTATCCCCAACCTAGCCATTCTGCCACTTCCCATTCCCCTAAGTGCAGGTCTACTCGATATGTTCGTGATAATTCCCTAAAGGCAGGAATAACAATTCTTTGACAAACAATCTACCCAACAATCATGTGCGACCCATCTACCAGACACTCACCTGCACTTAGGGGTCTAGTCTAATTATCAAATCCCGCATATAAGTTATATTAAAAGCGTCTTTCTCCCCGCCCCTCTCATAATTCCCTTTTCATTTTCTTGCCCCTCCAAAATCGTACCTTCTCCAAATCACTGTCGTCGTCGTCATACCCTTCCCCCATCAACGCCCGCCCATTTTTACCTGCCCCACCACCTCTTTCAGCTAATAATACCGGCATTCTCGAATAGAGAATACCCCAAAAGCAAAAGATAATACTCAACAAAGTAATCATCGTGACGAGGATACCTTTTTCGTGTCTAATCACCCCGCAATCGCAACAATGACAACCACCAGCATGGTCAAGCCCAAGTTCCTCACGCGAGGCAACGAGCTCGGCGTCGTCGCAGTCGGCTTCTCGGGTGGCCAGGTACGCTCCCCCTCCTCCTCTCCTTCCCACCATCTAACACGCACCCCGCAGACCAAAGCAGGCGTTGACGCCGGCCCCTCCGAGCTCATCAAGAACGGCCTCCTCACCCAGCTCCACGAGGACCTGGGCTACGACATCCACCACGACGGCAAAGTCCACGACTACTCCGACGTAATCCCCGACCCATCCTCTGACCCCGACCACCGCGGCATGAAGCAGCCCCGCGCCGTATCCGCCGTCACCCGCGCCCTCTGCGACCAAGTCTACGCGCAAGCCATCACAGGCCGCTGCGTCCTCACCCTCGGCGGCGACCACAGCATTGCCATTGGTTCCGTCGCTGGTACCGCCAAGGCCGCCCGCGAGAGGTTGGGAAGGGAGATGGCGCTGATCTGGGTGGATGCCCATGCGGATATTAATACGCCTGAGATGTCGGATTCGGGGAACATTCATGGAATGCCGGTTGCGTTCTTGACGGGCTTGGCGAAGGACGATGATGAAAGTATGTTTGGATGGGTTAAGGATGAGATGAAGGTTAGCTTGAAGAAGCTGGTTTACATTGGTCTTCGCGATGTGGATAGGGCGGAGAAGGTGCTCTTGAGAGAGCATGGCGTTAAGGCATTCAGCATGCATGATATCGACAGGTAAGCCTCCCTCCCCTTACCATCTATACGTAACCCCCCGGCTAACCAACCCACCCCCACAGATACGGCATCGGCAAAGTCATGGAAATGGCACTCGCCCATATCGGCACCGACACCCCCATCCACCTCTCCTTCGACGTCGACGCCATCGACCCCCAATGGGCACCCAGCACCGGCACCCCCGTCCGCGGCGGCCTAACCCTGCGCGAGGGCGACTACATCGCTGAGTGCGTGCACGAGACTGGTAGCCTTGTCGCCATGGACTTGGTTGAGGTGAATCCGTCGCTCGAGCCGGGGTTGGAGGGTGTAGGCGCGTTTGAGACGGTTAGAGCGGGGTGCTCGGTCGTGAGGTGCGGGTTGGGGGAGAGTTTGTTGTAGGTTGGAGGGTGGGGTTTTTTGGGGGAGTTTTTTGGGACGGCAGGTGCTGGGGTATTGGAGGAAGGACTTGCAATTAGATGGGGGCGCAATTGCATGTACCCTAGAAGCTACACTCCCGCATATATTTTTGGTTTTATATTTTCTACTATATATAAGAATACTTTTTATGATGCTGGGTTTTGGTTGTGGGTGTTCTCAGGCACGAATGGCACAAGTCATGAAAGTTTGTATTACGTGCACAGTCACCTTGTGCTATTACGTGTAGCTATCAGAATGCGGTAATGACAGTCGTAGTAACCTCATCGATAGCTACACCGTGAACCCCAGGCTCTCAGTATCAGCAGCTCCAAGACGAACACCATCCACCACGGCGCCTACCGACATCCACGCCAGAAACGCAATCACTTCTTGTACACATTCCCACTGGGCGCCGTGTACGAAGCGGACCCCTTCCCGTCGTCGTAGTACGTCGACTGGTCGCCGTTGGAGTAGTAATAGCTCCCGTTCTGTACTCGTCAGCTTCTCTCTCTTTGGCCCCATGTCTGATTTAGAAACGGAGGAAGAGGGGGAACAAGGCATGGTTCACGGTGTTGCTGTAGTGGTACGCGGACCCGGAGGGTTGACTACGGGTGTCGTAGCTATTCCCCTGGGAGTGGTTAGGGAGGCTGGTGGAGAGCGGGGGAGATGGGGCGTGTACCTGGCTGTTCGTGCCACTACCGGTGGTGGTGTAGGGCGTGTAGTTGCTGGAGGAGCCGGAGCCGCCGCCGCCGCTGGAGTTGGATTTGCCGGACATCTTTTCCTGTGGAAGCTGGTTGGTTTTACGATCTTATCTCTGTATCCTATCTAAGGGAATACTATCTACTTATATAGTGGCGTCGTGCCTTATGGATAGTTCGGATAGTTGCTGGATAGTTCGGATTATCCCAACTATCCAACTATCCAACTATCCAACTATCCATCTAACTATCCAACTATCCACTATTCATTAGATGAGTCACGCTACTGCAGCCTAGCCTCGCGACTGAGACATGCTGCTGCAGCCTAACCTCGTGACTATGAGTCACGTTACTACAGCCTAGCCCTGTAACTGCGAGTCACGTTACTATAGCCGTAACAGCTGGATCAATGTGTTGGTTCCTCAAGGCGGTTTTGGGTGCAAAGATTCAAGTATGGATTGTGGGAATGCGGGGTTGAAGTATGGCGGCCATGATACCGTTGTACGTGATGATTGATAGGATGATGGGAAACATCAACAAGGAAAGGTTTCCTTGTTCAGACGCTGCGGGCGCTGGGCGCGGCCGGAATAACTGCGGAGGCGAGCACAAGTACGTCTGTAGCCTGCCTGCCGTAAGCTACACAACCTCACACACAAACAACACACAATCTGCTGTCGTTCATCTCAATCCACCCAACGACCAACCTCACCTCACCACACATCTCCCATTGCCATTGCCATCACCACCACCACCACCACCACCACCACCACCACCATGGCCGAACGCGAACTCCACACCATCCTCCAAACCCTCCAAACCTCCCCCCTCTCCGACTACCGCGCCTCCTCCGCCCTCCTCTCCCGCGCCAAACTCCTCCTCCTCAAACTCAACGCCCTCACCCCCCTCCCCAGCACCCCCCACCCCCTCCTCCTCGCATCCCGCTCCCTCTTCGAAACCGCCGCCCTAACCGCCATCCGCGCCAAAGACCCCGAGGCCTTCACGCGCTATGTCCACCTTCTCGAGCCCTTCTACAACCTGCCCACCAATGTCTTGTCACCTGCTGATTCGCAGAGGGCGAAGATCACGGGGCTGTTTTTGCTGTTGCTTTTGGTGAAGGGGAATTATGCGGGGTTTCATACGGAGCTGGAGGCGCTGGAGATTCAGGGCGCGGATGTGGAGGGGGATGCGTTTTTGGGGTATCCGGTTAGGTTGGAGAGATGGCTGATGGAGGGGAGCTATGATCAGGTGTGGAAGGCGATGAGGAGCAGGGAGGTGCCGAGTGAGGAGTTTGGCATCTTTTCAGAGGTATGCAAACACCCCCCCACCCCCCAGCATTTCCTCCAGTTATCCAGTTTGAGTGAGCAGCAAGCTGACGTTTTGGCAAATAGATCCTGATCCCACGCATCCGCGCCGAAATTGCATCGTGCTCCGAGCGCGCATACCCTTCCCTCCCCGTCTCAAGCACGAAGGACCTCCTCTTCCTCGACTCTGAGGGCGCCGTGGTGCAGTTTGCACAGAGCAGGGGATGGGTGGTAAGGGATGGACGGATCTACTTCCCTGCGCAGGCAGTGGTGAAGGCTGAGGGCGAGGAGAGGGAGATTAGCCATGCGGCGATTGAGAATACGCTGGGTTATGCGAGGGAGCTGGAGACGATTGTTTAGATGGGGCGTTGTAATTGGGGAGTCGGGGAGGAAGAAAATGGATGGATGGCTTGCCGGGGTTTGGCGTATGGGTGTACGATCCCTTAGAGACGCATTGGGGGGGGGATAAAATCGTTGCGGTTTGATCCGGATGCAACTACATTGATGCTAGAGGAGTAATTTTCATTGTTGTACCCAAGGAAATACAGAGATATAATCGTCGGAACTGACCCTATTGCATAGGGTCGGGGTAATCAAAGAGCGTTCGCGGAAGCAAACGGCATTCGCAACCACCAAATTTTGTAGGTTAGCACTACATAGTAATTTATATGAAAAGGTACTTAAATTGATCAACTACTCGCTATTGCCATCTAAGCCGCTGCTATAGCTAGCACTAAGAGCCATGCACTCCTCTTGCTTCCCTCCTTGCTATGCTAACATAAGTCATGGCGTAACGCAGGGGATGGTGTAACGCGGTGAATTTACCCCACTGACTTCTGATAACTATAAATAATTCAACAATGGTTTGCTATAAAAGCCTAGGGGTTGCTAAGTGTGGAACTTTAATAGCCTAGGCAGTATTAGACGTCTAATCTAAGAAGTACAAGAGCACATATCACGCTGAGAAAGCACTAGGGTTGCCGAAGAGTTTAGTGACGCAATGTATTAATGGAGGTTTGACATGTCCCTAAGCCTGCTAGAAGCAACAGAATTTATCAGGAGCGCAAGAACAGATTAAAGTGGATTAAAAACCTGACAATTAGCAGCTATTCTCTAGGGCATTGGTTGTTGAAGGAAATAGCTAAAGAACTCTATACTAGTAACTTAATTTTGACAACGCAACACCAAACTCACTTCTACCCTAATGTACCGCTGACTTCTAAACGATAGAAGACACAGAGGTTTCTTGCATAAGGTTGACTTGACAGAGGTGGCAGGGGATTAAACACAAAGGCTTTCTAAGTAACACGTTACAGTATTGTAAAGAATACTATATTAGGTTAAGCACAAAGCTTCTATCTAAGGGAATACTATCTACTTAATATAGTGTCAATTAAAGAACGTCTTGCTCTTTCCTAAAGGATATCAGCCACTGGCTTCGAGATGCCATCTTGTAGCCATTAAGAAAAAAAAACATTCAAAGTGTGTAGTTTCTAACGACTTGAAACGCTATAGTGAATGTGTTCGTGTTAACATGCAGTATGATGCTAGTGGTCCCTCTATTAGCAACTAGGACAGGCTTACACATGAAGAGCGCCGTTTGCAGGAAGAGGAGGAGGAGGAATGGCCAAGATCCTTCGACTTTGTAAACAGCAGCACTTGTTCTGTTCCTATGCTAAGGACATGCTTTGCCATGGTCTAAAAACCATAGACAAACTAGATGAAGTGGAGGAAAAGGAGCGTAGGGAGGCAGAGGCCAAAGGGACTCTCTTGCACACCCCTCCCACTACTGCCTCTGAGGGCATAGCCCCTGACCAGGACTTCTTCGCAGTCCTGTCTCCTGGCTTCTTTGAACATTAGGTTGCGATGGTGGAACTTTGCTGCAACCCTAGGCAGCTGAGGTTTCCCCTTAACTCCCACGAGTTATCTGTAGGTTTATAACCTTTCTATTTTATCAGAAACTCTTCCTTGCATCCTATTAACCTTTTGTCTAGGATCACTTCGACTTCGTATTCAACAATTGTCTTCAAGGAGGGGGATAAAGTATATCTACTCCAGAAACACATCAAAACGAAACGACCAAATACGAAGTTGGACTTCAAGAAATTAGGACCATTCAAAATATTGAACAAAAACTTAGTTAATTACAGACTGAAGCTACCCAAGAACTCTAGACTACACCTAGTTTTTCATGTCTTATTGTTAGAACCAGCAAGAGGAAACACCCTGATTGCAACTGATGCAGAACTCCAACTAGAGAATGACCATACTGCGCTTTTTGTTTGCATACACGGCAGATCGTTCATTTAAGAATTGTATGTCTGTCGCGAGTTGTTCATGGAACGATTTGAGTTGTTCCACGGCAATCATAGCTTGTTCTGCTCTTGATTCATCCGCTCGTGGTTGTCTATATGCCTCTGGCTGATAGCCATAATTGGCAAAGAATGGTGAGACTTTTGTTGCTTCAGTCATCGCGCTGTTATATGTGAACTGTGCGATAGGTAATATCTGAACCCAAATGTCCTGTTGGTAGTTGACATAACTCTGTAGGTATTGTTTAACGGTTTGATTCAGTCTTTCTGTTTAGCCATCTGTTTAGGGATGGAAAGCTGTATGCGACTGCTTTAGCATCAGCTCCTTGTCATAGATGTCATAGTTGAGCTCTATAGGTGACAGTTTTTCTAGAGTAATATGCGACTAGCTTGAGCTTTCCATCTTTGGCTAGTTGACTTAGACATGCTCTAATCGTGAAATCAGAAGAGTCCATTTCTAGGACTATGTTCTTTGTAGGGTCGAATGTAGCTAAGATAGGTGCTTCTGTGAACTTTTTCTTTAGTTCTTAGAAAGCAGCTTCTGCCTTGTGTGTCCATTCAAACGGGAGGTCTTTCCTCGTAAGCTCTGTAAGTGGTTGAGCTACCTTGGAATATCCCATAATAAACCTCTGGTAGAAGTTGGCAAAGCCTAAGAAGGCTTGTACTTCTTTGACCGTGGTTGGTGTTGGCCATTCCAACACTGCCATGACCTTTGCTTGGTCCATTTTGATGCCATGCGTTACGACAATGTAGCCTAAGAATTCTACTTGATCCTTGTGGAATTCGCATTTTTCTGGCTTGAGGAGTAACCGATGCTCCTTTAACTTCTGTAATACCTTCCGAACATGACCAATGTGTTCCGTTGGGTCTCCTGAGTAGACTAAGATATCGTCTAGGTAGACGATAACAAACACATCCAAGTATTCATGGAGAGCTGCATTCATGAGCCTCTGCATGGATGCTGGTGCATTTGTTAGACCAAAGGGCATAACCAAGTATACGAACAAGCCATAGCGGGTGCGGAATGCTGTTTTCCACTCATCTCCTTTCTTGATTCGAATCAGGTTATAGGCGCCTCTGAGATCCAGCTTGGTAAATATCTTGGCTCCCTGGAACCAGTCGTGTAGTTCGTTTATCAAAGGTAAAGCATATCTATCTTTCATAGTGAGATTATTCATTCCTCGATAGTCTATGCAGAGTCTTAGCTTCTTGTCCTTCTTTAGCACAAATAGTATTAGACTTCCTGCTGGTGATGTCGATGGTCGAATAAACTGTTTCGCAAGGTTCTCGTCAATGTATTCCTTCAGTACGTCTAGCTCTGCTACTGACATCTGATATATTAGTCTGAACGGTGGACTCTTTCCTTCCATGATAGGTATCTCATGATCCCATGGTTGGTATCTCATGATCCCATGGTTGGTGCTTAGGAAGCGCCTCTTCATTAGCGCCTTCCCGGAATAACTGCTCGTATTCCTTATACTCCACTGGTATTTGCTTCAGTGAGGATGCCTGGGCTAGGTCATCAGCCTCGGTGGTCGCACATAACTCCTTCCGGTCTTTGGACGTTTTCTCCTTCTGCGTCGTGTCCTTTCATTGTTCACACGCGCACTGGATGATCACAACTTTCTCTTTCCGCCAGTCAATCTGGGGGTTGTGTTTCTTGAGCCACGGTACACCAAGTATGCATGCATGATTGTCCATGTGCACGATATTGTTACGACGGAACAAGAAGGCTGGCCAACTACAGGACAGGAAGGAGGGAGGTCGCATGAGACCGGCCCTGGTACCTGGAGGGGCAGCGGGGAATAGTAGTTCCAAAAGTATCACGTGACGGACTCGCAGGATGATGAGAAGAGTCCTAAGAGTCCAGGACTCCGAGGACTCGAGTGAGTTCCCAGGAGTCCACTAGGCACGTGACGGACTCGCAGGATGATGAGAAGAATCCTAAGAGTCCACTAGGCACGACGCCACTATATAAGTAGATAGTATTTCCTTAGATAGGAGCTTCGTGCTCAACTCAATACAGTATTTGTTATATACTAGTAACGTGTTACTCGAAGCCTTTGTGTCTGATCCCCTGCCTCCTCTGATAAGTAAACCTTTACGCAAGAGAACCTCTGTGCCTTCTATCGTTTAGAAGTCAGCGTTACAGATATCAAACTGTACTGTTTCCTTGTGTCTGCATAGCATAACCATTTCTAATGGGACTGTTTCGTGGGTCACCATTCCGTTGTTGGTTGAGATGGGCTCTCCATCTACATGTAATGGTGGGTGCACCAGATGTGAGAATCTAGCCACCCAAGGAAGGGATGATTTTACTAAGACAACACACTGTCTTAGGAAACAGAGCAAAAGGGTTGTAGCTTAGACTATTCCACAACGCAGCAATCAAGTGTATGATGTAGTGGAGTGGTTTAGACAAGTTGTAACAAATATTGAGTCTGAGAACTCAGGGGTAAGTCAGAGGTTAGCACCTCACTGACTTTTCAGGAACAAGGAGTAACAAGATCAATGCTTGGAAGCTTGGAAAAGATGTGGAAGTATGTGATAGTCGATTTACTGTATTGTCTGCTTGCCCTTTCTTAAGGAAAGGGCAATCCTATTTATGCTAAATGTCATACTGACATTTGTTGCACTCAGTTTGCTATCAAACTCAAGAGCAAACTTGGAAATCTCCTCCTCAAACCTACAAGTCACTATACATATTTTGGCTTGTCACACCAACAACAAGAGCAATACTACTCAATGATTGCTACAACCCTCTATGATTCATTACATGACATCACTCCTTAGTTACTGGGCTAATACTACCCATGACATATCTCTATCAACTAGAGGCCTAGGAACATGAACGATAGCTCCAAAAGCTTCTACAACCCTCTATGATTCATTACACACCATTGCTCCTTAGTTACCCACAAGATTGGTTAAGTTATGACATAATTTGTCTATAGGGGTACTCTGACCTTGGACCTCCTTTCACTTCCTATAGGCTAGGAATCTAGGAGATGGTTCTATGGGATTCTCTTACGTCGACTACAGTTACCAAGCCTGGTTAGTCATGGAAAGTCTTGGAAAATGAGAGAACTACACTCCTTTAGCATAAATAGGATTGCTCTTTCCTTAAGAAAGGGCAAGCAGACAATACAGTAAATCGACTATCACATACTTCCACATCTTTTCCAAGCTTCCAAGCATTGATCTTGTTACTCCTTGTTCCTGAAAAGTCAGTGAGGTGCTAACCTCTGACTTACCCCTGAGTTCTTAGACTCAATATTTGTTACAACTTGTCTAAACCACTCCACTACATCATACACTTGATTGCTGCATTGTGGAATAGTCTAAGCTACAACCCTTTGGCTCTGTTTCCTAAGACAGTGTGTTGTCTTAGTAAAATCATCCCTTCCTTGGGTGGCTAGATTCTCACATCTGGTGCACCCACCATTACAATAAGCACTTATTGCTCATGTCTCTTATTGATCTTTAGCTAGCAAATTATACACTACTTGGCCTTCTTGCAATTCCTCCTGCTTTGACTTACTTTGCATTGCCTTACTTCGAGTCAAACCACTTGGCCAACCTGTTAGTCTCACCACTTGACCCCTGTGGTATAAAGTATATGCTTTGGAGCCTGAACTACTATACCTTGTCCTACTGCTTTGAGTATCGAAGTCTTCACATTATACTTCGGATACTTCTGCAGACTCGAAGGTCAGCCTCATTTCGAACTGTCCTTCCATCTTTTCCCTTCAATGTGGCACATAGCTGTCCTTGCGGGGCCTTGCACCCGCCTTGACCTTGTAGCGTTAAGCTGTTTGCCATACTTTCGTCCTCCATTCCCTTTCTTTGACTGTCTGCAGTTTTGCGCTATGTGTCCAGGCTTATTGCAGTTGAAACAGAGCTGTTCTTGGAACTGTTGCTCCTTGTTGGGATTGTGGGGTTTGCCATTAGGCTTGAAAGTAGCGTCGAGTTCTATAGGTTGGGGCCAATGACTCTTTGTTTGTCTTCTCTTCTGAGTCCAGTGTTGACTAGGTGGTCCCCCTTTCTTCTCGAGTTGCCGTTCATAGTGACGATTGTTGATCTTCTGAGCCAATTCAATCATCTCTCACTCTTCCCTAGCCTTAATTCGAACCAAAGCATACCCTCCTCGTAAGTTGAGCTTAGTAAATATCATTGCTCCCTGAAATCTATCGTTCATTAGTTGAGATGGGCTTTCCATCTACAGCCATTAATGGGTATTGTAAGGACACAGGGCACCCAGCTCACAGTAATAGCATATGAGAGTGTGAGTCGGAGGCTAAATGGATGCTATCCTATAGGTCTACTACGAAGGATACAAAAAAGATGAAGGGGGAACCCCGTTGAGTCTGTTTCCTTAAATACCCGAAACAGCCCCAACTCGGTTATCCCAACCCTAGCCCTGAACCTTCCACTGCAACAGGTCTGCATCAACCCCGAACCCTACACCCTTACCATTCCCCACTATAGTGTAACTCGCTATGTGCTCCTCAACTGGTCTGAAACAGCACGAAGTCTGTTTTCATGCCCGTGGTGACTGTAACAGCTCTGAGGCGGGCCCTTCGAGTATCTAGGTAAGGAGGCATCCTTACAGGTATAGGTCGGTCTTTAGTTGCATACTGAAACCGTATGTGTCAGCTACTTTTTTTCGTTATAAATTTGCCCGTTACTCCTAAGTCTATCATAGCTTGGACGTATTGCTGTTGTATCTTAGCAACAACATATAGCTGTATGCTGCCTGTCATAGTGCATACCTAGTTTATACTAGGCCTCTTTGTGTTGCTTGCCATTGGCCTACCATTAAGGACTCCTAGTTTTTTTATTCATTAGAGGAGAAACCTTTATACTCACCATCCTCTAATGGTCGTAGAGTGGGTGATCCTTCCTCTGCTTGTCCTTTTAGGCATTGGTATAATTCCCATGCTTGTGTTTTCCCTTTCGCCTTAGGAATGGACTCCTTAAACTTTTAACTGTTTGCAGCCTAGATCGCTACAGGCTATAGTCCTTTATATCCTTCCCCTAGCTCTAGTTGCTCTATTACTTGCAATAGGCTTTCTCAATCCTCATAGATCTCTTTGTTAGGGTGATATATGTTGAATATTCTTCCTGCTGCGTTAGCATCCTAGACATTGTATTTGCAAGTTTATATTAGCCATTCTATGGCTTCACTCTATGTGGTTCCTGCTAGCATGGGTATTCTAGTTGGCACCTCATTGTGTAGACTGTAACCTCCTAGTCTTGTGTGGTGCCTAGCCAGCTCGTTAGTGGCTTTAGCACAGGAATTCCTTAATTGACTGTTTCCTAGAGCATAGCTTCCTTAAAGGTCCTTACTGCTCCTAGCAGTTGTTCCTTAAAGAGAGTCTCACTTACGCTTCTCTCAAACGCTTGTAACCAATGCTTCTAAAAGCTAGTGAGCTCTCTGACTTCAGCTGTGACTAAGTCCTCACTCTCATCTTCTCTGTTTGACGTGTTGAATTCCTCAAGATCCTAAGCAGTTATACTCTAGGTCTCTTTTTGCTATAACGTAGCGCATAGCTGTCCTCGTAGGGCATTGTACGTACCCTGACTCTGCTAAGTGGCATTGAGCTGTTTGCCATACTTTCGTCCGCCGTTCTCTTTCTTTGACTGCTTGCAATCCCTAGCTATGTGGCTGGGCTTGTTGCAATTGAATGAGAGACGTTCCTTAAGCTGTCGCTCCTTATTAGGGTTGTGTAGGCGGTTGCTTTGCTTGAAAGTGGCATCGGGTTCCATTAGGTCTAACCACCAGTTGTCTTGAGAATGGTTGTCTCTCTTTCGAGCTTCGTTACCTCAATACTTATAACTCTTCTTTTAGTTGTTGTAAGTTCGTCATTCCTTCTGGAACTAGTACAGCTGGTTGTTGATCTAGACTGTATGCTTGATGAGCAAGACCATGTCTTTTGGTTGATGTTCTATACGTGCAAGTTCTATATAGACATGGCTCTTTAGTCCACGATGGTAATGGCTAATGAGCGCGTTGGTATCCTGATTAGTTTAGTTGCTATATCTTTGGAATTCTGTAGCGTACGTAAGGGCGCTACTAGTATGCTTTAGTCCATACAGATGGTCTTCTACAGTCTTAACCTCATCGATATCGCTAAACATGCAGCAGATTTCCTTCTTAAACCCCTTCTAAGTACCGAACATAGTTTTGGTAGTAGCCATCATGCTATAGGTGTTCTTATGTTAGAAATAGTCCTTAAGGAAGGGTTCTACCCATTGAAGGGCTTCCCCTCTAAGGTAGGATGACGTCTATACGGCATAACTTTCGTTAGTTGGGAACTTTTCGTTATTAAAGTGTGAGTATAGCTCGATCTAGAGCAGAAACACTTTAAGTTCCTTGTGGTTGGTTGCTAGAGTAAGTGTTAGGCAACTTAACGAATAGGGTTTCCTAGAGTTCTATGATGACTGGCTTAGCATTAGGCATGTCTTCGTCCTAAGGCAGGATCGCCTAAGACGACATGGGTATTAGCATAGCTAGAGTTGGTGTAGCTAGGGTAGCCATGACCTTTCCCTAAGATCCTATAGCCAACATGTTGCTTTGTGTATAAGCTGGTACCTTGTTGAAGTGGTGCGCAAAATGCAACGCTAACTTCTAAATGATAGAAGACACAGAGGTTTCTTATGTAAGGTTGACTTAACAGAGTGTCATACTGACATTCGTTGCACTCAGTTTGCTATCAAACTCAAGAGCAAACTTAGAAATCTCCTCCTCAAACCTACAAGTCACCATACATATCTTGGCTTATCACACCAACAACAGAAACAATACTACTCAACGATTGCTGCAAACTCTTCTACTACATCTGTTTATGCTACATACATCACGGCATATCATTTGGACACTCATTGAACAAGTTATTAAGAAAATCTCCTCCTTAAGGGGGTGGGCCAATACTACCACATGGCATATCTCTACCAACTAGAGGCCTAGGAACATGAACGATAGCTCTAGAAGCTTCTACAACCCTCTATGATTCATTACACGTCATCGCTCAAGTTACCCACAAGATTGGTTAAGTTATGACATAATTTGTCTATAGGTACTCTGACCTTGGACCTCCTTTTCACTTCCTATAGGCTAGGAACCCAAGAGATGGTTCTATGGGATTCTCTTACGTTCACTACATGATTAGCAAGCTAGTTGTGGGTCGCACTTGATTTCTAATACATTTACCAAGCCTGGTTAGTCATGGAAAGTCATGGAAAATAAGAGAACTACACTCCTTTGGCATAAATAGGATTGCCCTTTCCTTAAGAAAGGGCAAGCAGGCAATACAGTAAATCGACTAGCACATACTTCTACGTCTTTTCCAAGCTTCCAAGCATTGATCTTGTTATTCTCTGTTTTTGAAAAGTCAGTGAGGTGCTAACCTCTGACTTACCCCTGAGTTCTCAGACTCAACATTTGTTGCAACTTGTCTAAACCACTTCACCACATCATACACCTGATTGCTGCGTTGTGGAATAGTCTAAGCTACAACCCTTTGGCTCTGTTTCCTAAGACAGTGTGTTGTCTTAGTAAATTCATCCCTTCCTTGGGTGGCTAGATTCTCATATCTGGTGCACCCACCATTACACAGAGGAGGCAGGGATTAAACACAAAGGCTTTCTAAGTAACATGTTATAGTAATGTAAAGAATACTATATTAAGTTGAGCATGAAGCTCCTATCTAAGGGAATACTTTGTACGAAGATCAAGCACATCCTAGCTGTTAGGAATAGGTTTCAATGGTCAAGTGCATCTGTGTAGACAGAACCATCCTTCTGCCCCTTGGGATCTTTAAAGGCAAGAACATTCTCTAATCATGGATTCCGCCTTTAGTCATCGACAAGTGGTTCTTCTCTGCGAATACGAAAGGCTAGACAAGCAATCTCTATACGTTAGAGTGGTTAAAACGCATCTTTAAGCTAACGACATGCACAAAAGCAGACGGTTAACACATTAGCGGGAGTTTCATTGCGTAGCCCCCTATTACTGTCACGTGCTAAAAATGGAACTGTTTTTGTTGAACTAGCAAAAGTGAATCAATCCTCTTCTGCTGTAGTTCTTATAGTCGGCTATATTATGACAGTTTTTTACAACTAAAGTGGGGGATTAAGGGAGGAAGGAGCGACGTGGACGTAATAAGTCAGGGTTTAGCATCCTCGCTAAGGGAAATCCGTCATCCCTTGTCCACTCCTCTCTGTCCTAACAACCACCGCATACGGACTGTAGTCGGACATGACCGATTGAAGACGATCAAGGAAGCTTCTCCGCTTCTTTCTTCTCTTACTTACTCATTCGAATACGACAAATACCGTGCCCTTCAACTGACAGCGCGCAGTCGGTACTCTGTAAGGCGGTGTTCGCCGGGAACGCCCTGGCAATAGGATCGATCGTCGGCTGTGCATTAGACAAAACCTCCTCCTTCCGTCTAGTGCTCCGCGATACTTTGTCTATATCCCGTCTCCCTCGAACCCTTCCAAACCAAAACATCCCTCATGCATCTTCACCACTTATCACCTCTCTACCTCCTCGCCTCCTCCTCGCCTCCTCCTCCTCACCGCCGCCCCAGAACATGGCGACCATAACAGCACCACCACCACCCACCACCACCACACAACGACCTGGCCAACCCCCAACCAACTCAACAACCCCCTGGCCACCACCAGCTCTATTCATGAAAATGGAATTCGGCATCTCCCTCGCCCCAACATCCACCCACAACCTCTCTCTCTCCTACGCCTCCCGCCCCATCACCACCTCCCGCCTCGCAAAAACAATCCCAACCTTCCTCCTCCCCTCCCGGCGCCGCGGCCTTACCACAAAGAAAGACGCCCGCCCCTCCCTCCGCTCCAGGTCCGAGATCCTCATGCGCCCTTCCACAAGAACACCCGCATACCAGCAATACACCATGCTCCAACCCTCCTACCCCCACCCCGAGCGGCCAGCCACCCAGCGAACATCCTCTCTCAACCCTAACTACGCGCCTCACCTCAGCTGGGGCCCGACAAGACACTTCCTCGAACACAAACCCCTCCCCGAACTCCCATCGCGCTTCCGCCTCGGCGAACCGGACCTCCCCTGGTCATCCCCGGCGCCGTCAATCAGGAGCACCACAACCGCGCAGACGACATCCACCCGTGCCGCCGGGCCGTCCTCCGACCCCGTCTGGTCCGCCGTCTCCCCGCCCTCAGCAACCTGGGCTGCACCGCGCAGTGTTTCTAATCCCCCCTCTCCCATCGTCAGCCCGGACGTCTCTTTCGCATACCCCCCACAACCACCACATCACCACCACACCGGCTCCGGCTCCGTCTCCCCCGCCTCCCCCGCCGACGCCGCCCCAGGCCCGAAACCCTGGCGCGACACGAGTTTCTACACCTCCATCCCCGGCCCGCGCTCCATCACCCCGCCACACACCCACCGCGCGCGCGCAGTATCGGCTTCAGATCGTGGGACGGACCGGGTGAGTGAGGGTGGAGAGCGGGAGAGCGTGCGTGATTATGAGGCGGAGGTGCGTGCGAGAGATGAGACTTGGATGGCGATTGACCCGTTGCGGGAATGGGAGATGCACAACCTACAAGCTGCGATGATGTCTTTCGACGCGCTGGGGGAGTGGGATGAGACGACCGCTAGTGTGGGGATGAATGCTGCACCCGCGAGTAACTATCCGCACGACAGGTATATGGATCAGTGGAACAACAACAACAGCGGCCGCTCTAGAACCGTCGGCTGGGCGGAGGATCGGACGAGCAGCCCGCACGATCTCGGATGGGCAGTGGGAGTTGGGGAGGATGGGAGGATGGGCGTGGTGAGGGATGATGAGGCGGGGTGGCAGAGGTATAATTTCGAGGAGTGGGATCGCGCGGGGAAGGGCTGGTCGTATAGGGATGTTAATGGGTTTACGTCTTCTTGACCGGATGGGGTGAGGAGGCGGAGTTGGAATTGGGGGGAGACGCCGGGGTGGGCGGCGAGGAGGCGGTAGGGGGGTGTGGTATGTGGTGGGCGTTTTTGCTTTGGGTTTTTTTGGAAGGGGGGGGGATTCGGAGTTTTGGGGTATATATGGGATGGGCATTGGGAGGGGTGTTATATATTTACGAGCTGTAAGTTGTTCTGGTATTTCCTCGCGGGCGACGATTTGGCTCCTTCGCGGCGGTTGTGGGTTTTGTCGCTGGATGCGAGGGAATCTACGGCGGCTGGAAGCAGCCAGATGGAAATACTACAAGTGATTTATGCTGTGGTTGGGGATATATGGTTGATATAGAGTATATAGTAAAGGTACATATTTAATGGCTGCAAGCATGTGTTCCCAGAGTTGCGACCATAGTATTATAAAAGATGTCAGTAGCTAATGCGGCGTCTATTGAACGTCCAAAGGAGTCCATTTTCAGCCTGAATCTATCCGCGGCTTGGGTTTGGGCGTTGTATCCATACGCTGGACGGAAGAAGCTGTAGAACCAGGAATAGTTGTGTAGCGGCAAGAATCTACGGCGGTGACAGGAATGGCTCTGTGACGACAAGAAATTACAGCGGTAGGAAGAGGTATGTGGCGGTGAGAAACTATCGAGCTTCTGTATCGTAACACCTGAACGTCTGAATAGGGTTCCTGAGATGCCGCTCACGAGGTGCCCACACCACCAATCTGTCCCAAAAGTGTATCCCACGGACAAATCAACAATGTTTTTCGTTTGAAGCAGGTTGCATGCCCATTCTTTCGCGAGATATGTTATATACGAGCAGCAACTAGAGAAACCCCAGGCAGTATTCAAGCAATTTACGCCTGGTATAGTGTGCCGTCACCAGCCTACGAGACTTGCAATACATCGCTATTTTTGCACCTTCACCCAAAGTCCCGTCTCATAAATAACAACCAAAACACCAACCAACACCAAAACACCCACTAAATAACCTCATCATTCATAAACCCACCCCCCTTGGCAAACCTACTCTGATACTCCCTCAAATCCGCCCAATTCCTCAACTCACTCTCCCCCTCCTCCTCCTTCCCCCGCCCTCCCCCCTCAAACCTCATCAACACATCCACAAACCTGCCCAAATACTCCTCCGCCCGCCTCGTCAGCGGTCCCTTATGATTCCTCGGCGTATCTAAGAGCGTCGCTGCGATCTGCCGGATTTTATTCAGGAATGACCCGCCATTGGGCTCCATGTTCACTTGGCTGATACTACCCAGCACGCGGAGCAGGTCTTGGACGATCGTCTCTCGCTCGGCGGCCATGCGTGTTGCGATGGCGTCGAAGGTTGCTTCGACGGCCATCTCTAGTGGTGCGGGGACGGGATGGAGGAAGGTGCCGGTGGGGCTGATCATGCGCCCGCTGTCATGGGTGGTGCTCTCGCGTTGTTGTGGCGGGGGTTGTTGGCCGGACGCGGCGGCGTTGAGTCTAGCTTCGTGCGCGTCGAGGAGGTTGAAGTATTTCTCGACGAGGTAGCTGCGCGTCCCTAGTTGCGAGGCGTAAATATTGGCTTTCTGGATCTCGTACTGAAGTTGGCGCTTCTCGTCTACTGGCGACTCGTTGGTCGTGTGGCGCTGCGGCGGCGGTGGCGGAGGATAGATCTGCCCGAAGCCTTGGGGCTGGGCGTGCGGGTAGTACAGCGGTTTCGACGTGTCTTCGCGGAGGGGAGAGGAGTGTATCGTGCCGTGCTGGTGCGAGTCGTTGGTGGAGTTGCTGCCGTGGGGCGGCTCGTGGCCGAAGCGTCCGGGCTCGTTGCCGGCTTCGAGGCGGAGCTCGGAGGGGATGTTTTCAAGCGTGCGCTTTACGTTCTCGACGCATTCTTCGAGGACGCGCTTTTGACGCGGCCAGTCGAAGAGCTCGTCGATTCCGTAGGCGAGTTCCATCGTCGCGAGGGGGGTGCAGGTCATGTAGATCTGGATGCCGAGGTTGAAGCCGGTGAGTTTGGAGATGGCGCCGGGGGGTTGGGCGACGATGTGGGTTGCGAAGATGTATTGGTCGTCGATGGGGAGGGGGAACGGGGGGTAGGGGCTTGAGGGAGTCGGGGGAGGGATGGTGAGTTCGGCGAAGCTGGCGCCGAGTTGTTGCATTGACCTGGTGGAGTTAGATGGGTGAACCAGGAGGCAAGAGTAGGATGAAGACAGGACTTACCGAACGCCCACGACCATAACCCAGAACATCCTCCTCCCTATCTCCTGCTTAATAAAGTCCACCTTATTATCCCCCATCTTCGCATTCTCATTCGCGCGCTGCACCCCCACCGCACGACTAATCGTGAACGTCTCTCCAAAGTATAACCTGCACTGGTGCCAGTTAATCGTATACGCGCCCGCCAGCCCCAGAAAGTAGCTCGTCACGGCATCATACATAGTCAAGTCGCGATCCAGGTATCCCGCCCCTCTCGCCTCCACCGCAACCTTATGGCACCGCTCGACCAGGGAAATCGAGCTGGAGAACAGCTTCTCCTGGTGTTGCGCCTTGAGATGCATCATTGGTTTGCGCGGGAATGACGCCGCCAGCATTCCGACCATGCTTGCCAGTAGCGCCAGAAACGACGGGTTCGACAGGTCCTCGCGCTGCTTGAAGGCCGCGCGGAAGCTGGGTTCATGCGGGAACGGCGCAAGCGGGTGAATGTATGTGAAGAAGTCGTCGACGAGCAGCTCTAGGATCGAGAAGGGGCATATGGACTCGGCGCTCAACACGGCGTGTGAAGAGAAGGATGCGAGTGTCGCGGCGACGTTCGAGGGACTCGTAGGGGACGGCGTCGCGAACTGTCGCGAGGGCGAGCCTTCTTCAAGTCGCTGCCGCTTGATGCTCTCAGCGTGTCGGTTTGGGGGCCCGCGGCGCCTCGAGGGGCGCTCGAATGTGCATGGGATCTCGAGGGCGGCGCAGGCGCGACAGGGCGGGCCTGCCTCATCGCACTGGATTGCGATTAGCTTTTTGTAGATGGCGGGGGCGGGGTCGGGGGGGAGCAGGCACGTACTTTCACCTTGCGGATACTACAAGAGTCGCAGGCTTTGCGCAGGCGATTCCCCTTCTGTGCCTCTAGCTGGGCGGCAGTGGGAGTTCCGCCGTATCGGCCATTGCCTACGTGCTGTTGCTGCGCGTTGGCGTTGGGGATGGAGCTGAGGCCGGGGAACTGAAGAGGCCGCGTGTTAGCATCGTAGCGCTGGGCGGACGCGGTGTGAAGCTGGTTGAGGGGGTCGTGTTTGTTGTTGTCGGCGCTTTGGTTGGGGTGAGAGAGGGAGGAGGTCAAGTATGCGGCTGGAGGTGGGGGATAGGACGACATGTGGGCGTTTGGGTGGGACGTCGGCGACGGGTGGGTGTGTTGACGGATGAAGTTCGGGAGAACTGTGAGCGTTGTTGAATCAGTACAGGTGGGTTTTTAATGGGAGGACTTCGGCTCATTGGGGTGGGTGAACTTGATTGGTTAGATCGCAGTTACTCTGCAAATAACAACCTCCAACCAAAGCCAGTAGGAGCTCAAAGTAAACCATTCTGTTTATATTGATGTTGATATTATCTACTGTATTATATATCTATTACTATTCTCTCATATGCCTTCTTTGTATATCTAGGAACCCAGCACTCAGCTATGCAGCGCGCAAAATTTTGACGCTCCAAAGCGCCATCCAACGCTGTATGCTCCATCCATAAATATGCCCAAAACGCCACGCCATGCATGAATCATAATCCCGCAAAGCACAAAGCACGGGTATCAATCAGTCTCAGAAAAGTCTCATCCCCAGCAACCTAAATCCTGACCTTAATAGTCTTCCCCGTCGTCGCAAACCGCGCGCCACACATCAGCCCGCAGCCAAGCAATATCGACGACGCCGTGAATAGCTGCGGGCCCAGGTAGCTGCCATTGCCCGCCGTGATGAGCGCGCCGCAGATCGGCGGGCCGGACAGCACCGCGAAACTGACCATTGTGAAGATCATACCGATGCGCACACCGGCCTTGCTCAGGTCCTTCGCCGTCAGGGAGCCCAGAACGGCGGGGAAGAGCGACTGCACTCCTGCGCCGGGCATCCCGTAGATGACGGTCCAGGTGTATAGGCCGGCGGTGTCGTGGACAGCAGTCATGGTGTACATGACGATTGAGCCACACAAGGCTGCGAAGAGCATGAGGTTAAGCGGTCCCGTCCAGGTATCCGCGACGTAGTTGGCGAAAATGCGCGCTGGGATGCCGACGCCGTTGAGAAGGAGGACCAGGTTGATAGACTTGGTCTGATCGAAGCCGATGTTGTCGCGCGCGAACGCCGACAGATAGAAGAAGGGGAAGTATAGGCCCCAGAAAGTGAAGAACATGCCAATGCCGTAGAGGGTGTACGTCATATCGCGGAAGGACTGTAGGTCGAGGAACTGGCCCGACTTGCGCGGTGGCACGCGCTGCTTTGCGAATAGGTTGACACAAAGCAGGAAGAAGGCGTCGACCAGTCCCAGCGAACGCATGGTCCAGGCGAACCCAATTTTGGGGAGCAGGTTCTGGACCATGGAGGGGAAAATTAGGCCGCCGACAGCACCACCGGAGGCAGAGATACCAATCGCGAGAGACTTCTTAGTCGAGAAGTAGGTGGAGACAAGGGCAACAGAGGGCGCGAAGATGCAGCCATTGCCAAGACCAACGCATATGCCGTGCGAGAGGATCAGCTGCCAGTATTGCGTCGATATCGAGGCCATGAAGATTCCGAGCAGCTGCAGGAAGCTGCCAACAAAGATGACCTGCTTAAAGTAGCCGGCATCGGCAAGGCGACCACTGAAGGTACCAACGAAGAAGAGGAAGAAGACCTGGAAACCACCGATCCAGGCGATGTCGGACGGCGGTCGATCAAGAAAGCCGACATAGAAGGATTGGAACATGCCGAAGGAATTGACGAAGCCCCTATCACGTATTAGTTGGTTGGTTGAGCTTGGAGAGAAATGCAATGCGCTTACCAAGTTGTGGTGACCGTCATACAGGCCATGGCGCATTGAAGCCATGCGTGGAAACCTCCATCCGGCGGCGGGCCAATGCTGACATTTGAGGTTCTAGCAGATAGATGGGTTAAAACCCGTCGTACAACATTCGACTCTGTTTTAGATATAGGGGCAGCGCCTGTGTATTCCTCGCCATCTTCTTTCCCGAACGACGACTCGTTATCGGGCGACGTGTCGCTGCTGTGGATGGGGAGGGCCTCGCCCTTCTCTTTGTCTATGACTTTACGATCCCCCGGAGCATCTTGGGAGATGTCGTGCATTCTTGGCTATGTGTAATATTCCGATTATCTGTATCTGCTGTGAGTCAGCTCTGGATCACCACATCGGGTGTCTAAGGCAACCACACCATCACCTCTGTATGTGGGATGATATAAGTAAGAATGCTAATTCCAAAGCGCAACCAGAGACATGTATGAGTAATTGGGTCAAGCAGAAAAACTGGAGGCGAGTGACTTCTTACATTTAGATCCAGAAGCTGTTAGTTAGTTTTATGCCGGCTTTAGCGCGGGAACCGATGCAAAAAAGTGGGCAAAAATAGTGATTACTATACGGCCCAGAGCCGAAGGACGAAATGAAAGCCACACATCGACGGCAAGCCTTTCGGGTAACTGGCCTTGGGCCGCTCGCTATTGCCGACTTTGGCCTGTGAAGCCTCTTATTCTATTTCTCCGTAAACGTAACTCGTAAAGATATAATTCGGGCTGTGATGCTATTCGTGTTTGATGGGTAAGCAGGAAGGGCTGCAAGTAGAGCATTTGCAGCAAGCTACAGGATTGCCTGCATATTGTACATTGTGTCTGTGGGTGCCATTCGTGGTCTTTGTTCGGGAATGGCATCCCGACGTTGCTGCGGTTAGCCACTAGAGTACAGTAGTAAGTATATTGTGGGTGAGGGGGAGGAGGGGAGTGGGTGAGGGGGATGACGGGGATGAGGGGGATGAGGGGGATGAGGGGGATGAGGGGAATGAGGGGGAGAGGGGGATGAGGAGGTTGAGACGGTTGATGGGATGATGGATATAACGGCACAGTGTTAGCCTTAGCATTGTTGGGCGTGTTGTAACTGACTGGACGAAGGGACGACACGTGATACGAAATATCGATGATACTTAAGTATATCAGTCTTAGTAGTGCTGGTTATATAATAAAGTCCGGTCGGTCCATCTCATATGTAGAAGTCAAAATGGGAAGCTGCGATGTTGAGTTGCAACGTTGTGATACTTTGCACAGATGTAAGTGCTGATCACTTAGAATAGTAAAGCACCGTTATAACGATTCTCGATTAAGCGATAACTTCATTATTGCGATATTTTTCCTGGTCCCGACAACACCACCATACAATTACCGATACTCACGATATCGGTGCTCCCTTTCCCAAATATCGCTTTATCCGTGCTATGGTGTTCCTATTCAGACCTTGAAATGACGAAACGATTTGCAATAACTATTGAGCAACGCCGAGCTCTACGCAAGTGGGCACATCAACAACACCCGAAGCCTTCTCAAAGCTATACAACCTACGGGATCACGACTACGAGTTGGACAGTGGCCAGAAGTGGAGCGACTCCTTAATGGCAGCAACGAATTCAATCACGTGGAGGTTTTACAAGCGGTGATATACTACAAGAAAAGGCTCGAGAGATTTGGCAACAACTACCAAATGACGATAATCTACAATGCCCAGACTTCTCAACTGGCTGGCTCCATCGATTTAAAGCACGATATCATATCAAGGTTCATACAAAACACGGTGAAGGAGGCTCTTGTCCAGAAACAGCAGAGGAGGAAATGAAGGCTCTACGAACTATCGCTGGTGAATTTCAAGAGGAGGACATTTATAATATGGACGAGACAGGCCTATACTGGAAGATGATGCCATCTCGAGGGCTTGCAACACAAACGCTTCCAGGATTAAAGAAGGAGAAAACTCGAATTAGCCTTGTCTTTTGTGTTAATGCTTCTGGAACTGATCGCCTACCTGTGTGGATGATTGGACGATATAAACAGCCGTGCGCACTTCGAAATATCGATATACCATCAATGGGAGGGCAATGGCGTGCGAGCCAGAAGGCTTGGATGAATACAACAATTATGAGCGAATGGCTTCACGCTTTCTATCGACATATTGGAACGACTCGACAAGTTCTTCTTACGATGGATAACTTCTCAGCTCATAACACCGCTCTTGAGCTTTGCCCTCCTCCAATGAACATATGTATTTGTTGGCTTCCTGCTAACAGTACTAGTCGATTCCAGCCCCTTGATCAAGGCATCATTCAATCATTCAAATGTCATTATTGGCGACAGTGGCTCTCTTTTATGCTTGATGCTTTTACTTCAGATTGAAACCCACTCGAATCGATGAATCTACACTTTGCAGTCCGATGGATTCTGAGCTGGAATCATTATGTCACAAATACAACAATCTATAACTGTTTTCGAAAATCTACACTTGTTAGCATTCTGATTGCTCTTCCGATTCCAATTACTCCTCCAGGTATCAACGAACTCTATGAACAAGTTATACGAGCTGGCAATATTCATGGCATTATGGCAATTCTAACTTTCTAAACCCAAGCGACGAAGAAGGGGATATACAAGATGGGACACCATCTAGGTCTTCAGCAAACTCAAGAAGATGACGAAGAAGAGTTAGAATCAGACTGCTCTTTACATTCTGTGAAGAGCACTCGTCAAGCACTCCAAGTACTGATTGAGTTTACTGAAGAACAAGAGGCTCTTCAATCAGAGTATTTACGAGGCCTCGAGCGTTTAGAATTCGCTCTTGAGGCACTGGATCAAGGGTCACGGGTGCAAAGTACGTTAGATAGTTGGATTACATAATAATCAATATAGCGATATTATCATTATAACGATATATTCAGGTGGCAGTAAATGCATCTGTTATGGCTACGGTAACGTGATGTCATGGTTACAGGACCAGGGCCTAGTAATGTGACGTGTGAGTCACAGGGGCAAGCGGGGTAGGCTGCCATGTGACGGGGCTAATGGATAGTTGCAGAAACTAGTGGATATTGGATAGTTGAGTTATCCACAAACTATCCTGAATATCTAGCTATCCGCCAACTATCCAGATTACCTGTGAGGCACGATGCCACTATATAAGTAGATAGTATTTCCTTCAATAGGAGCTTCGTGCTCAACTCAATATAGTATTCTTTACAATACTGTAACGTGTTACTTGGAAAGCCTTTGTGTCTAATCCCCTGCCTCCTCTGTCAAGTCAACCTTACGCTAGAAACCTCTGTGTCTTCTATCGTTTAGAAGTCAGCATTACAGCATTATTATAACGATGCTTTACTGTATTCATATTCTGTGCTATGTAACGCTGACTTCTAAACGATAGAAGACACAGAGGTTCTCTTGCGTAAAGGTTTACTTATCAGAGGAGGCAGGGGATCAGACACAAAGGCTTCAAGTAACATGTTACTAGTATATAACAAATACTGTATTGAGTTGAGCACGAAGCTCCTATCTAAGGAAATACTATCTACTTATATAGTGGCGTCGTGCCTAGTGGACTCTTGGGAACTCACTCGAGTCCTCGGAGTCCTGGACTCTTAGGACTCTTCTCATCATCCTGCGAGTCCATCACGTGCCTAGTGGACTCCTGGGAACTCACTCGAGTCCTCGGAGTCCTGGACTCTTAGGACTCTTCTCATCATCCTGCGAGTCCGTCACGTGATACTTTCGGAACTACTATTCCCCGCTGCCCCTCCAGGTACCAGGGCCGGTCTCATGCGACCTCCCTCCTTCCTGTCCTGTAGTTGGCCAGCCTTCTTGTTCCGTCGTAACACTCGCTCCCTTCCCCTGGGCATTCGTCTCGAATCCTATAAGTACGTCCATGTCCCCGGGACTCTGCTGCTCCTCAGCGAGTCCTTCAACATGCAACATGCCTACTGACACTGCCCGCAAACTCCAGGAACGCAACGATCTTGTCCGTCGAATAAAGAACCACGGATACGAACTACCCGAAATGGATTCTTGCTCGAACTGCGTGAGGCGAAACATTACTTGCGTGTCGTCTCCAAATGATTCACGGTGGTGCGCCGAGTGCGTTCGTCGCAACTTGAAAGAAAAGTGTGACTGTATGGGTCCTGAGCATCCCGACTGGGTGAAGCTCGAACGGGAGGAGGATCGCCTGGATCGCGAAGAGGAAGAAACCCTTTCGAAGTTACTTCGTCTGCGGAAGCAGAAACGCCTCATCCGAACCCGTGGTAAAGATATGCTCCGGCGAGGTTTGAAAACCCTCGACGAGCTTGATGCGGCAGAGGAGGCCGAACGTGTGGCTGCTGAGAAGCGTGACGCTGTTGAGGCTGAGGAACAGGCAGTTAGCGCTGCCTCCTCGTCTGTGACCGGGACCCTCGCTTCCTCCGATCCACTGGCCTACTCCCCTGCATCTTGGGATCAATGGCTGGCGGATGGCGGCGTCGATATTCCTCCAGCAGTTCTTTGCTGATGTTCCTTGTTGGTTCCCACGAATTATCCGTAGGTTCGTAATTTTCCCATTTTATCAAAAACTCTTCTCGACGTCCTACTAACCTTCTGTCTAGGATCGCTTCGACCTCATATTCGATTATCTCATTCTCGGGTTGGAGTTCGGTGTCAGTCGCAATTGGGGTATTTCCTCTTGCTGGTTCCAGTAGTGAGACATGAAATACCGGGTGTAGTCTAGACTTCTTGGGTAGCTGCAGTCTGTAATTAACTGAGCTGACTTTGTTCAATATTTTGAATGGTCCCAATTTCTTGAAGTCCAACTTTGTGCTTGGTCGTTTCGTTTTGATATGTTTCCAGAGTAGGTATACTTTATCCCCCTCCTTGAAGGCAGGTTCCATACTGCGCTTCTTGTTTGCGTATGCGGCGGATCGTTCATTTAAGAATTGGATGTCCGTCGCAAGTTGTTCGTGGAACGATTTCAGTTGTTCCACCACGATCAGGGCTTGTTCAGCTCGTGATTCATCCGGTCTTGGTTGCCTATATGCTTCTGGCTGGTAGCCATAATTGGCAAAGAACGGTGAGACTTTCGTTGCTTCTGTCATCGCGCTGTTATATGCAAACTGTGCGATGGGTAAGATCTGAACCCAGTTATCCTGTTGATGATTGACATAGCTTCGCAGGTACTGTTCAAGGGTCTGATTTAATCTTTCTGTTTGGCCGTCTGTCTGGGGATGAAAAGCTGTTGACAGCTTATGATTTGTTCCCAGTAGCGCCATCAATGATTTCCAGAATTTCGAAGTAAAGAGCTTGTCTCTATCTGAGATGATTTCTTCTGGCATCCCATGATCGGCTAATATGACTCGAATGAAGGTATATGCGAGCGCCTCGGCGTCGCTAGCTTCTAGATATGGTATAAACTTCCCATATTTCGTGAGTCTTTCCGTGATGACGAGGATAGAGTCAT